AGAGGCATGGTGGGTGTGGTGAGTATGGTAGAGAAGCATGGTGGGTATGGTGAGTATGGTAGAGAATCATGGTGGGTGTGGTGAGTATGGTAGAGGCATTGTGGGTGTGGTGAGTATGGTAGAGAAGCATGGTGGGTGTGGTGAGTATGGTAGAGAATCATGGTGGGTGTGGTGTAGTATAGTAGAGAGGCAAGGTGGGTGTGGAAGAGGGGTGTGGTGAGTGTGGTAAGTATTGTATGGAAAAGAGGCACGGTGGATGGGGTGAGTGGTGAATGTGGTAGTGAGGCAGGGTGGGTGTGGTAGACAAATGTGGTGAGTATGGTAGTGAGGAATGGTAGGTGTGGAGAGGATGGTATTGAGGCATGGTGGGTATGATGGTGGTAGGTGTGGTGGAAGAGTGGTGGGTTTTAGAGAGTGTCGTAGTGAGTTTGGTACTACACTCACCTAGGAAGTGTCTGGAAGAGTCAGCATGTGCGAGGACCCTGGCGAGGGATATGATAGCTAGAAGACTTGACAGCACGAAGATGGCAAACAGCCGCATACATTTCCCCTGTGACACAAGAAAGAAAATGTTGTCAGTAAATTAGGTTGTTAGATTTATTTCAGTTGTTTGCATGACTGGTTAGCTTGTTATTAGGTTTTTGTTAGTTGTTTGCACGTGAATTAGGGGAATCTCATAAACTCAATTAAGAAAGCACTAAAGGATACAGGGGTCACCAGAAGGATCTTCACCCCAGGTTATGTAACATAAATATTAATCACCCGAACACTACTGTATTTGAGGGATGAGGTTAGGATAGGTTTGGTTAAGTTATGTTAGCATTATGGTGGTTTATCTTTAGGTGAAATAAGTTGGGGTGGAGATTCTTCAGGTGATTCTCAGACATATTAGACAGATAAAAGGAATCCTCAGTTCTGTTATAAAGTATTTTTGCTGACATTTGGCTGAGAAAGATAACGTTAGAAAATATTGTTATTCAGTATAAACATATATGGTATACCCTAGTACTGTTCAACCACTCCCTTTTTATACCTGGGGTCTTGGTGGTGGCATATATAATATACAAAGTATATGGGCACAAGTCTCAACAACTCCCAGACAATTAGTATACAGTGCAGTATTACAAAACTTGTGGCTTCAGTGTTTAACTATTTTGAATTAATGCTGGGTGGCTAAACGTGTTTTTGTTCATCGGTGGACTGGTCACCAGTCAAACTTACGAAAGCATAATGATTGTCACTCATGAGGTCAGATTTGCTTAAGTAATGGATCTTATGTGTAAAAAAAGTAATGGTGCAAGGATTATACAACTGATTAATACCAGGTTAAAGACATACGGTGCAATACAGTATAGTATATGTAAGAAGCAAGATACAGTACACTGTTCAGTATATGTACAGTACTGTATTGTACGAGTACTGTATATGAAAGGGGTGTGGGTGTGTTTCTGTATATGAGTGCATGTAAATAATAATAATAATAATAATTAACGGTTTATTGAAAAAGTTCTGCAGCCAGAAGGCTGAAAATATACATTGGACATAAATGACTTATTACATACATTGGTGGTTTAACAAAAGCCTTCATTAGAGAAAGATAAAGGAACATACAGTGAACACACAGATTAATGTAGGATTGTACGTGTTGAACAGCAAACACGTAGTGTAGTAACTCCCTCCCAGATGGTGTTAGGAGGGGCCGCACGTGGTGTAGTAATTCCCTCACAGATGGTGTTAGGAGGGGCCGCACGTGGTGTAGTAGCTCCCTCACAGATGGTGTTTTGAGGGACCTCATGTGTGTGTATGTACTGTAAATACAACACTGTACATGAGTGTGTCTGTGTACACTGAGTGCATGTGTTTGTGTATACTGTACATAATGAGTGTTTGTTTATAAAAGCGTGCGTATGTTTGTATGTAGATGTATTGTGTACTTGTGCTAATTACTATATGTCTGTGTACAGTATTTGAGTTTGATATCTCTGTGTGTATTATTATTAATGTTGTTATGCCTGCTGATGAGCAACGAGTGCTAGGAGTAGATGTTACGTCACACACTGTGGAAAAGTAGTGTTTACAGTACCAAAAGTCATTGGTGTGAGTCATCCGCCCTTGTGGAACTCTCCCTCTGAATCACTTTACCTCCTACATGAGCCACTTACCTCCCAAGAATCACTCACCTTTTAGTCAATTTATAGTAGAGGACTTAATTCGATACTGAATTTTATTTTTACTACTAATAAGTTCAGACAAACACATGACGAATTTCATCTATGACACTTTTGGCGGTCTTTACTCGTAACCGAGATATTGAGAGTTGAAAATCAGAAAACCACTAGTAAAGCTATTATTGTACTTCTAGTCTAGTATAAATACCCAGACGCTGAGTTTCAGTTCAGAGTCAGTTCATAAGATCATATTCTGCTTAGAAACGACCCAGCAGTCATGCAGGATCTCCTCACCAATAACACAATGGGAATAACCATGGAACAATCATCCCAACCATCGAGCAAGAAAACCATCTTAATCATAGGGCTCGACCAATACCAGCCCCCTACACTACTAGAAGCTCATCCCGTCATTAGAAGGACGAAGGGACTCGGGCAAGAACGCAGTCATTGCAGACTGGGTTGGCTTGGGGAACCCACCCAAGACCATTTGAGTCAATGGTGTCTGTCGGACTCTGAAAGTAACTCTCTATCACCCTCCTTCCGGGTGGTGTTACAATTGTCAACACTGGGGCATTGTAGCCCGATTATGCTCCACTACCATGCTGTGGTATGGTCTCTGTTCATGACAACATGCAACACAGGCTTGCAGAAATACAGTTGCTCAAGGGGGAGCCATTCAACAAAGGTGTATTAATTGCAAAACAGATGGAGTGCCTGTATGACACCCTGGCTATCCCAGAGCTCCTACGCCCCTTCAGCGCCCAGACCCGCCACCCAGGCAGGTCTCAAGAAACACCATGCTGCTAGGGTATTCCCTACGGCCAACCTCTGGCCCACCCTCCCCACCAAAGCTCCAGGATCATCACCAGCAGTCAACGCAAGATCTGCGTGGGGCAACACAGGCGTCCTGATACAACAGGTAGTTGCCAACACGCCCCGTGAACACGCACAAAATGAAGAGATCAATGATCTGAAAAATGAAATTAAAGAATTTAAAGCTCAATTTGCAGCTCAAACTGATATGATAAAGAACCTCTGCGATCCACTACAGAAAAAACACCACCAACACAGCAGCAGCTATGGAAAAGATTACAATCAAACTGAAGACATTCAAATGTCACTACCAGATGTGGAAACTCATGATCCATCAGGATCTAGTGTCCACGCAGAGGAAAACAGTGATACTGGTAACAATTTATTGATGCCTCTGGGCATAGTCAGTGATGAACAAACACAAACAGAAAATGGTGGTGATGTTGAGTGTAAAAAAGTGTGTTGATGTCTGCCACTAAAATAGATCAACTGGTGAGCAGGTCATGCTCCAGGAATGTTTAAAAATATTAAAAAGCATCCTGCCTGCAGAAGGGACAGGCATCATGGAAAAAACAGTATCATACAGTGCCTTCTGCTTTTTTCCAAATATAGTACATAATGGCCAGTGGTAATACCAAACAAAGATATAGAGAGGTGAAGGTGATGAGTTGGAACATCTCATCCCTCAGAAAACGATACCCTGACCTACACCACAAAGTTGACTGCAGGAGTGTCTCACACCTAATGGTAAGCCCCCACCCAGTCTGCTCAATTATATGTATTATGATGCTAGTTCTACTCACACATGTTTGATATATGTTTTTTCGTCACTACCGCATGTACCTCTTGTATTCAAAAAGACTACCAACCTTCAGTACCATGGGATCACTATCCACATGGATAACTCCACACTCAATGTGCTAAACGCTGAACCCACTGTCCTAATTGTTGACCTGAATACTAGGCACAAGAAATTAGGTGACCCCACCACTAATACCAATGGTAGGAGACTTATCTCACTTCTGAGCAAATATGAAGATGCTCAAATTATAGGTAATAATGAACCAACACACATCTATGGCGGGGCTCTAAGCAAGTGTATTGGCTTTAATCTATCATACACAACTCAGATTGACTGGGCTGAGGAAAACACCTCATGAGTTTATTCCTACATTTCACTCTTTATTATTATTTTCTGTTTACCGGTATATACGCGGATGTTCGTTGTAATAGTGGATTTTCTGTCATCTTTGTCTACTGGTTACTGTTACGTCCACAGACAATCGCAAAACATTTTTTGCTGGATAAGCATGGTGAGGAGAGGGGCAGGACGTGGCGTAGAACATCCTTTTAACTTCGCCTCTAATGCCTGTTTTTTTTTCTTGTTTTTTTTTTTTACACGGGGAATAGCCCACCCGGGCACAGGTTATCGACCCACAACGGGGCCTAGGGGCAGAAGAAAAATAAGAGTTAAAATAAATTAAAAATAGAAAAGAAAATATTATATTAATCTACCCCACGAAGATACCTGAAAACTAGCTTTTTAAAGTGAGACAGATTGTATGAGTATGGAAACACAGAAGAAGGCAGAGCATTCCACAGTTTGGCTGTGTGAGGAAAGAAGGATGTACTATAACGGGTTATTCTAGTGTGACCGACAGCCACGGAGAAACTGTGGGCACTGCGGGCAAGACGAGTGTTACGAGCCCACGGCCTTGCTGGCGGTACACAGGATGCCAAATCCACCAAACATTGCCCATTAAAGTACCTGTAAAAAGAGAAAGTGAAGTAACATTGTGGTGAAGGGAAAGGGAAGAAAGATCAACTAAAGGAGGAGAGTCAATAAGACGATATAACAGCACCTTTGCTTTATATAAATATTCACCTAAATGAATAACACCAACTTATTCACCGAGTTTTTCAACGATTATTCACTACTGAGCTTGTAACTATCACAGAGGTCGAGCGTAGGTCAGCTGATGAATCAAAACAGCCAGCTCGGTCCCATGCTTCGTTCTCTCCTCTCGTGCTCAGAGGAGGAGACAGATCTTAACCACTTGATCAGGGAAGAGGACATAACTCTAAGTGCTATCTCAAATTGTATCCATAACAGGATAGAACTGTGTACATATTTGCTTCGCCAATAAAGGATAAACAACAATAAGTGTTTACATCAAGCCCTGCCACTTAAAGAGTTCCAGAACTTATTTAAAACAATTAATGTGATACCAAAACAGCTATCACAACGAAATGCCTTTGATTCTACCCTATCTAACAGTTGGACAGATGAAGAGCCAACCCAGATATGAGAGCAGTACTCCCAAGTTAGGACGAATGAATCCCTTATAAACCTGAAGCAACTGCTCAGGAGTGAAGTAGTGCGGCATCTGTACAGCATTCCCAGCTTTCGGGAGGCAGCTTTAGCTATGTTGTGGATGTGTGGCTTCCATGACATATTAGAGGAAATGGTGAGGCCTAGCATATCTATTTTAGAACTTGGCAGAATGATTGCAACCTGAAATGTGATTGGTGGGAAATCATGTAATTTGGAAAGTGTAATTGGTAAATACTGAGTTTTATTACTTATGAATTTAACCAAGTTTCTACCTCCCTATTCGGAGATGTTGCACAGATATACAGTGATAGATGAAATGATATCAGTTCTAGAAACATATCTAGTTTGAGAATTCGAGGGAAGGGAAAAATGTGAAGAAGAGTGAAGAGTAGAATCATCAGCATAAGAATAGATAGAATTAGTCGTAGTGTGAAGTAAATCATTGATAAAAAGAAGATAGAGAGTAGGTGAAAGAACAGAACCCTGTGGAACACCACTATTGGTAGAGAAAGAGCGAGAGGTCGATCCCTCGACAAAACTGCCATGGATCGGCTCTCAAGGAAGCTAGAAATTAGAGAACAAAGTGGGGGAGAGAAACTATAAGAGGGAAGTTTAGAAAGCAAAGACTTGTGCCATACCCTGTCAAATGCTTTGGAGATGTCGAGGGCCACTGCGAAAATTTCCCCATTATCCCTAAGAGAGGATGACCAAAGATGGGTACTGGAGGAGAGCAGATCACCAGTAGATCTTGCTTGGCGAAAGCCATGCTGGTGATCTGACAAAAGAGAAAAGCGATCAAGGTGACGGAGAAAATGGGAGTTTAAGATAGTTTCGAGAATCTTAGAAAGGAATGAAGTTAGGGCGATAGTTAAGAGGGATTAGAATGGTCACACTTCTTTGGGATGGGCTGAACCAAGGCATGCTTCCAAGAAGAAGGAAAAGTTTGGGTTTTGAGGCAAAGGCAAAAGAGACGGGCACTCACGGGTCAGAATTTCAGCACACTCCCTCAGAACATGAGGGGGTATTTCGTCCGGTCCATGCGCCTTACTCACATCCAACCTGGATAACACACCAGCAACCTTACGAGTGGAGATTATAGGAAAGTGCATAGGTTCATTAGGAAGAGCAGGGGTAGGAGGGATGGAGTTGGAATCGTATAAGGTGGAGTTAGAGGAGAATAAGCTGCCAAAGAGATTGGCTTTATTAGAGGGAGAGTTGGCTATAGAGTTATCAGGTCGGAAGAGAGGAGGAAAAGAGGAAGTGCAGAAGTTATTACAGATGTTTTTGGTGAAGGACCAGAAGGATTTACGAGAAGAAGAGTTAGTCAGGACAGCGGTCTTTCTTTTTATAAAATTCCGCTTGGCCGTACGAAGAATAGCCTTACAACGATTCCTAAGTAATGAAAGAGGAGCGGGTAATAGGAGGAGATAGTTTCATTACTTGATACGCCCTATCTCTCTCCCTACATGCAAGAGAACAGGAGCAATCAAACCATGATTGTAAAGTGAAAGTTTTGGTAGAAGATGGGATAAATGCGCTCACACCACCCTGTATAATCCCAGCAATGCTGTCAGCACATACCGAGGCCTCCCGAGTGGAAAAGCAACATTTATCCCAAGGAAAGTCGGTAAAGAATTCTCGCAAGGATTGCCAGTTTGCCCTCCGATAGTGCCAAATTTGGCGTTTAGAGGGGGATGGGGAAGGTGGTTGTGCCCAGTTTGATTTAATAAAAATAAGATTGTGATCAGAAGACCCTAAGGGGACAGAAATTAAGTATGAATAGTGTGAGGGGGTTAGAGGTAAAACAAAGATAAAAAATGTTAGTAAGTTGATCGTGTCGATCAGGAACACGTGTAGGGTGTTTAATTATTTGTTTCAGATCATTAAGTAAGGTCATCCCATGCCACTCTCTGTGATGTACATTAAAATCCTTTAGGTAGAGGATCTCAGTATTGGGGTATGTGGATAGCAATGACTCATGCCAAGAGTTTCTTTTTCAGCATGGCATGTGAAGATTGTCGTCGGTCTTATATGGAAGTAATTTGCGAATTTAGGGATATAGACAACGAGACCCTTTAATTGTTCAAAGACCCTGGCATTGTTCCTTTAAATAGGGACAGTCCACACTGCGGGAATAAAAAGAAAATGAAAATCCGGAGTTTTAAAATCGTTTTTTATCAATTTCGGCCTCGGGTTAGTCATGAATAATTACCTCCATTTCTAGCTATAGCCGAAATCCTGCTGCTTGCTGGGCCGTCAGGCCAACGGCCAGCAAAAACGGCGAACATGTTGGGAGGAAAGAACCCAGTGTGCCGCCGCCTTGACTGGTTTATTTTTTTATCAGTTATTTAAAGACGACGGCATAAAATTGGCGTTGAAATAGCACTGATATTCAAATGACAAATTGATACACCTTCTCACTTGTTTTGTGAATAACCTTAAGTTTAAGATCTGTAGGATAATACTCACCCGCCCCACCATGGCTGTGACGTCACACATACCGCTGCTGACTTCGTGTCTGCATCACAAATACGACTCCCAGTTCTCCTTGTGGTCTCCTCCATACACCATTTGTGGTCTTCATTTATCCTTCATACACTATCTGTGGTCTTTACTTGTCCTTCATACAGCATATTGTGGTCTTCACTTGTCCTTCATACACTACCACTGCTACGATTTTTTGTCTGCCGTGTCTCGTTGTGCTGCGAATTCCCGGCTGTTTTACCAGAACAAATACACTACGAATTGCTTAGTGCATTCTTACTACATACCTGTGGTGCTGTGAATCTTTCACTACAGACAACACCTGGTAGTATGTGAATCATTTAGTTTTGTCCCAGAGACTTGTTATTGTTACTCTTGTAGCCCCGGGAACTCGTCACTGCACCACAATACCCTAGTATAGTCCTAAAGCTGCTGCTGCGGCGCTACACATACATGTTCCTGAATAACCTTGATTAGTGTGGACGTTATCAGTGGTATAGGGACTATCTGTTATCACCAGTATCTTACCTACTGTATCAGTGGCCTGTTCCAAGAATAGTACAGGTCTACGCTCTGTAGTCTATATGGTGGGAATAGCCAGCATTCAGTTCATAACACTGAAGACAAAAATGTAGTGAGGGAAGAATCGCCATGTATGAAGATAATGAATGTGGGTGTGGAGATGGGAGACGTGGTGACGGGTCCGACTAATTACCCAAATGTAGCCGCAATGAAGTCAAATAATGGTCCTACATGAATAAATCGGACTGCTAATCACTTCTCGACTGGCATTTGGTGTCACGAAGTCACAAAAAATTGGGAAACTTAATTTAATCTGAGTTAATAGATCGAGTGCATGTACCTAACCTAACCTAACCCAACACAACTCAGATTAAATTAAGTTTACCAATTTTTTGTGACTATGACACCAAATAATAATCGAGAAGTGATTCACAGTCCGATTTACGCTTGCAGGACCATCATTTGACTTCATTGCGGCTACATTTGGGTAATTCCTCGCTCCCTCGGTACATGCACGCGATCTATTAACTCAGATTAAAGTAAGTTTTCCAATTTTTTGTGACTTTGTGACTCCAAATACTAGTCGAGAAGTGATTAGCAGTCCGATTTATTCATGTAGGACCATTATTTGACTTCATTGCGGCTACATTTGGGTACATTAGGGAAATTAGTCGGACCGCGTGGTGACAGGGACGGTAAACTGCAAGGCTACAAAATAAATTTTAGATTCTCAAATATACGAGTATATATAAAAACAATTATCTGACTAGAGGACAGAAACACGTGTTCTAGCTGTTGAAATACTGTACATAAAAAGATACGGTAATACAACGAAGTGCCAAGATGGGTGTTTATGAATTGTCAGTGTTTTCCCCTGAGGAGCTTGGAGTATTGAAAGTTTACGAGGTAAGAAGAAGATAGCATGTTCTAAAAGTGAGAGAATGGATGTAGTTGGACCAAATGTAATGAATTATATAGAACAACGGAAAAGGTAAATCTATTGTAATGTCAGTGTAATTTGAGACGTGAAGGAACGATGGCCACGTCGAAGACAAACGGGAAAAACATACTGTATAGCCACGGTACTTTTGCCCAAGAAAGTAATAAGTATGTATGTATACTGTATCGTGTTCGTATTTATGTCTGACTGATGATGTTTTGTGATGATAAAGATATCTACTGATTACTTTGTACTGATAGAAATGAAGGAAAAACAACACCTCTAAGTGTTTACGTGAGTCGCACACAATTAATTCGTGTGTGTGTGTGTGTGTGTGTGTGTGTGTGTGTGTGTGTGTGTCAACATTGGAAATTTGTTGTTGTAATATCGAGATTTGTTTTACTTTTGCCTTTATCCTATTCGTCGCTTGGGCGGTAGGTTACGTCTCGGTTACGCATTGTTGGAAAGTACTGGGCATGTACTGGCTTCTGAATGTATTTGTACTTGCGTCAGTTATGGTCACGTCTAGTTTTGAAAGAGCTCACACTCAGTGCCATCACAACACACTCTGGTAGATTGTTCCAAGAGTTAACAATTCTCACTCCAAAAAATTTTGCCCTCACAATTTTCTGGACTTGTGGCTTCATCAACCTTGACTTGTGACCCCTTGTGGGGCGGGCGTCTGTCAGCTCCAGGTATGGACCCTCGACTGAGTAGTGCCGTCTGAGATGATTATAAACTTCAATTAGTTCACCCCCTTGCCCGTCGAAAGTATAAGCTAGGCAGTTGTAGGCGTTCTAATCTCTCTGGGTAACTGATGTTGGCAGGTACTGGCTCTGTTACACACTGTTGACAAGTACTGTACTGACTCCACAATGTACTGTACAGTTGGGGTCAGAAGTTCGCTTCCTTCCAGACTGTAGCCGTATCGACCCCAAATGAGATAAAACAGCACACTCGTACCAGATGACAGTCAGGGTAAATCAGTTCGGAGACTCATTCCCGTGATTCAGTTTCATCACGGGGAGTGAACTTTTGTCTATGACTGTACATCCACGTTAAATGCTTATATGTCGATACCGAATAGACTGTCTCAATCTTTTCTAACTTGCTTAATGGACACTTCATCTTAAGGTGGCCATGCTGAGGGAAGGAGGCCAGTAGTCTGTATAGGATTCCTTCATTGTTCTTGATAAACTTGTCCAGGGCTATTTTGGATACTCTCGCCTCCACAGCTTGGGCTGGTAGACCGTTCCATAGGTTTGCTAGCCCCTGCGTTAAGTATTTCCATACAATCATTCTACAAGCAACTAAACTAGTAGGTCTTATAAGAAGGTAGTTCAAGAGTGAGGAGCTTCCCCGCCTGGAGTACTGTCACCCCGTCTGGTCCCCGAGATATGCTAGGGACTGTCAATTGATTAAAAATGTCCAAAGGAAGGGCACCAGACTGGTGCCTGCATTTCTGCACCTCAGTTACCCAGAGAGATTAGAGCGCTTGTAGCTGCCTAGCTTATACTACAGACGGGCAAGGGGTGACCTAATTGAAGTTTATAAACATCTCAATGGGGCACTACTCAGTCGAGTATCCATAGCCGGAGATGGAGGACGCCCGCCCCTCAAGGGGTCACAGCTCAAGGTTGAAGAAGCCACAAGTCCAGAAAACTGCGAGGGCAAACTTTTTCGGAGTGAGAGTTGTGAACTCTTGGAACAAACTGCCAGAGAGTGCTGTGACGGCACCGAGTGTGAGCTCTTGCAAGACCAGACTTGACCAACATTGGTCCAGGTTCAGATACATTCAGGAGCCAGTGCATGCCCAGTACTTGCCAACAGTGTGTAACAGAAACGTGACCTACTGCCCAAGCGGCTAACGAGCCGATCAGTGCCGAAAAGGAACAAAGTAAAAAAGCAAAAGTATGACACCTTGGCGAGCATGAAGTTATGTGTTAGTCTCTCCTCTTGTATTGATGGAGCGTGACATCACAAAAAAATTGACATGGAGTGGGCATTACATGGACTTCATAGGAACTGACAAAGAAAAAATGGTGTGGGTAATTTTTATTTGTAGGCTCGGTCTGCACTCAAACACACACATAAATACAAAAGGACTTAATATAAAAAATGTATAAATATGATAAATAAATAGATATTTAAAGCATCATACCAAAGTCGAGAAAATCAGAGTTTTTACTCGTGATTTAAATAATATAAATACGAAAAATATGTACATAGCAAAGTAGCTCAAGAGGCAACCAGGGTCCCTCCGCCATGTTGATAGCATCACGATACAGTATTATCTATAGAAGAAAGCATACCACATACCATCATCGCTTAAATATGACATATTGAACGTGTCTTACTTTACTATCAGACTGTTATCATCACAGTTAGAGATATAGTGCTATAAACATTCCACAACATGCATGTTGATATAATCGTTTCCTTGAAAATGCAAAACTTAGGGTCAGTCTTTGCTCGTGAGTAGAAGAGCGGTTGACGGGAAACATTTCCTATGTTCCTCAACTGTGATCTTCGGATATTTATGAATTAAATGTAGTCGTTACAGAACACTGTGAAAAAGAATTGGCATGGACTCGGCAACTGCCAGGTTCGTAAAACCTTAACCTCGCTGATAAAACCAAAGATAGACCATCTGGTTAGGTGTACAAGGTCAAAGCTGCCTGTGTTGGGATTCATCCCACTAACTTACAGTGTTGAATATTTTAAATATGCCTATCATGAAATTGAAAGTGAAGGCAAAACCCACATCTTTTTTTTCCTTTTCCCTTGATAAACAAATGGTGTTGTTGCAGAACAAGAAGTGTAGGTCTCAGTGTTCCGGGATGACTGATGCACGTTGAAACTCATGACCAATTAAAACAACGTATACTGTTCATCATGGCCACAAAAACTAATATCTTACAAATTAGTGTATATGAATAAAGTTCATGATTCTACCATGCGGGTAACTGTAACTCAAGGATAGTGTTAGTTTTTTTTATGAATAGTATCCTTCCATACATTGTATTATAATGCAAATTAAGCTCTGAGAATATAATTGTTTTCACCGTTGTGTTCTAAACCGAGTTCTGCCTCTCTGGCCGAGACACTAGGATATTTTCCAATTATCTGTCAGTGTGGGAGGGATGCCCAAGATCTGTGGCCGCCGGAGCTACTTATCATCTCACCATCACACTTAATTTAAACTTAAGTACTTACGCCATACATTTTTATAAAGTTTTCTAGGTTTATACAAATTAATACAAAGGGTAAAAAAGCAAGATACTCCGTGGTCCCAGAGATTATTACTACAGGCACATAAGGAATTCTGGGAAGCCTGGAGGGACCATGACCTGGTCCTGGACTCCGGCTCACCCGTGGCACTGTGTGGCACACTATTGACTAGATACCCCATCCGAGACTTACTGTCTACTTAGCTACAACACTACTACCCCCCCCCCTCCCCACCCCCGGCACTGGTCACACGCCCACACCGCCTCAGGCCACGGCCATACTCCTGACAGCCCGACCTGATAGGCCGTACTTGCTTGCCAGCCCCGGGTACTAAGGTCTAGTGGACCCATGTTACACCTTAATTATTTATATGATTAATTATATTACACGAATAATTTTGCAACTGTTCTAGTTCATCATTTTTGCTAAAGTTACTGAAACTGGAGAGAATATATACAGTACATTGTAAACAGTACCCAACATAGTCAAATGCAAATTCCATGTAATCTAAATGTTCTACTTTAGTACTACGAGCACAGGCTGTCTGTGCTGGTCCCCCTCAACCCTATATGATGGGAAGTCCCTCTTCCTCATCTGCCTAGTCATACCTTACTTTACCTCCACCCCCTTTTCACCTCTCCACTCCGTCCCTTCTCCTCACCCCTTGTCACGTATCCTCAGCCCGTCACCTCTTCCCACCCCCAGTCATTCATTCTCAATCCGTCACCCATCCTCACCCTATCACATGTCCCAGTCCCCGTTAGTTACAGTCACTCCTGCTGTGGCGCGCCTCTGTGTCATTTCAACTAAGCATCTGGACCACAGCCCAATAGTCTATCATAAAATATGTCATGTAACTTACGACAAATAAACGTCTTCCTACATAACGACAGCAAGTCCCAAAACCTGATAGCGACTAGTATCATGTATAAGTACCATTGACACACACACGACCTCCTTCAGTTGACACATACCTAGCGAAGGCCTACGCTGTTTCATTTGAGACTAAATTATATTGACTCTTATATCAGAGTAACATAAATTATATGTCATTTGCGATGGAGCGCCTGTACCTTGTCTCTCTTGTCTTTAGACAGTTGAATGTTACAGCGAGGAATTTTGAACAAGTTAGTGTGTACAAGGCAGCGCAGTTTTGTGAAGAGGTCAATGGGCGCGCGCAGTGGGCACGTGGGGTGCTGTACGGAGAATAGTGACGGTGTGCATAGGTCGAACCCCGACACGGCCCCCGAGCCCAGCGGAGATGGACTGCTGGGGCTGGTGTAGGACGGTGGTGGGTCGGGGTAGGTCAGTGTGACCTACCACCACGGGACCTGCTGAAGGAGTGGTGGGGCGGGGGGTCACGCCCCCGCGACTCAGAGCTCGGTGTAACTTCATGCAGGAGGAAGACTCTTCGTGCTTATAGAGGTAAGACTTGAGAGCGAAGGACTTGCCACAGCGGGTACAGGCGTAGGGCTTGATGCTCGAGTGGGTCTGGACGTGAGCTCGCAGGTTAGACTTGTCAGCAAAGGCCTTCCCACACATACTGCACCTGAACGGCTTCTCACCTGTATCAAAATATGCTCTGAGTCTCTGATCTGTACAACATTCAGTTAGCTAAATAAAAAATATAATAAAACATTACTATTAACCACACAGTTATTGACGATGCTAATGTAACAAAATAGAAAGCTTGTAATATAAATTGTCATACATATCTAAAACTTTACAAGTAAATCACTGTAGGTGCGCGTGATCCAGGTATATGTTGATAACCACAAAGAAGAAGATTTGTAACCAGGTGAGAAGGTTAGGTCATCTTACCCTCTGACCTGACTACCGACTGCTGCGGTGCTTTTTGAAGATTAGTAGGGTCATTACCTAATACCTGACCATTGTGGACTTGATCTCACCCTCCTCTGTATATATATATATATATATATATATATATATATATATATATATACCTTGTTATAAGAACATAAGAATGGAGGAAACTGCAGCGGGCCTATTGACCCATACTGGGCAGTCCCGTTTATACCCAACCACCTATTGCTCATATAAGCATCCAACCTATGTTTGAAGCTATCCAGCGTATTCAAGTTAATGCTGATGTTTGGTAACTTGTTCCATTCATCCACTACTCTGTTTCCAAACCAGTGTTTACCTATTTCACGCCGAAATCTAAATAAGTCTAATTTAAAACCGTTGTTGTGAGTTTGCTCCTGGTTGGATAGTTTGAGTACCTTTATAATGTCCCCTTTGTTTAACCCTGAATTCCATTTATACACCTCTATCATGTCGCCCCTCGCTCTACGTCTCTTGAGGGAGTGCAAATTAAGATGCTTTAACCTGTCTCTGTACTCAAGGTTCCTAATGCCTGGGATTAGTCTTGTCATTCTCCTCTGGATTCTTTCCAAGGATTCTATATCCATTCTGTAATACGGTGACCAGAACTGAACTGCGTAATCCAGGTAAGGTCTCACAAGTGCTAGATATAATTTTAAGATGATCTCGCTAGTCTTGTAACTAACACTCCTTTGTATGAACCCAAGTACTTTATTAGCCTTGTTACGAGCAAAAACACATTGTTTACTTGGCTTAAGATTCCTACTTATCATTACTCCTAAATCTCTCTCGCAGTCGGATTCCACAATGGCATCGTTGTTCATCTGGTAACTGGTTTCCCTGTTTACATTTCCTATACTGAGTACTTTACATTTGTCCACATTGAATTTCATCTCCTTAGTCTGTACTAACCCCTGAAGATGTGAATTACACGAAAGCGCTTGGGAACTTCGTGTTTTCTTTTTCCTTGTGGTTATCAGCACATATATATATATAAATAAATAAATAAATAAATATATATATATATATATATATATATATATATATATATATATATATATATATATATATATATATATATATATATATATATATTATTTTATACAATGACTAATGGCCCTATTTAATATAGTCACTTTACTCAGTGACAGCTTTGTAACCAAAGCTGTCAAGAACTCAGTACTTGGCAATCCCACACAGAACAAGATTTACGGTACATCTGAAGAGTTGGCTACTCTTGTTAACACAGGATGAATGACAGTATCTTCATAACTAGGGATTAAGTGGCTGAAGCTGTAGTAGGGATGATTTAAAGTGATCCATCAGCAGCGTGTGCCACATGGCCTTGTTGTGAAACATATTGTCATTTCTTGAACCTAGAACTTAACACATCTCACCTCAGTACCTTACACACGAGGTAGTGAAAAATGGGCAACCCCCCAGCATTCCCAACAGTGACTTAGGCCAGGTGTGCAGCAACAGGTGTGTGAGAAATCACCACTGACAGGTGTGAATCTCAGAGGTGGGCCGCAGTAGGTACATGAGAGGTGGCCAGGGACAGGTGCGTGGTAGGATGGTATTAGTAGCAGGTGTGTGGTAGGATGATAGCAGCAGCAGATGTGTGGTAGGATGGTGGCAGCAACAGGTGTGTGGTAGGATGGTGGTAGTAGCAGCAGGTGTGTGGTAGGATGGTGGCAGCAACAGGTGTGTGGTAGGATGGTGGTAGTAGCAGCAGGTGTGTGGTAGGATGGTGGCAGCAGGAGGTGCGTGGTAGGATGGTGGCAGCAGCAAGTGTGTGGTAGGAAGGTAACAACAGGAGGTGTGTGGTAGAATGGTAGCAGCAGGAGGTGTGTGGTAGGATGGTAGCAGGAGGTGTGTGGTGGGATGGTAGCAGCAGGAGGGTGTGTGGGATCAAATAACAGCAGGAGGTGTGTGGTAGGATGGTAGCAGCAGGAGGTGTGTGGTAGGATGGTAGCAGCAGGAGGTGTGTGGTAGGATGGTAGCAGCAGGAGGTGTGTGGTAGGATGGTAGCAGCAGGAGGTGTGTGGTAGGATGGTAGCAGCAGGAGGTGTGTGGTAGGATGGTAGCAGCAGGAGGTGTGTGGTAGGATGGTAGCAGCAGGAGGTGTGTGGCAGGATGGTAGCAGCAGGAGGTGTGT